AACCCAGAAATAAACCTTCACATATATGGTCGCATAATTTTTGACAAGTGTGCCAAAACCATTCAATGTTTTTGTGATTGGCTTATTTCACTTAGCATAGTGTCCACAAGGTTCATTTGTGCTGTCATAAGTTCCTTCTTAAGGTGAATAACGTTCCACATTTTGCTTATCCATTCATTGTCAGTAGATACCTGAGTTGCTTCCATATTTTAGTGATTGTGAACTATGCTGCTGTGAATACGGATGTATAAATAACTCTTCAAGATCCTGCTTTCAGTTCTTTTGGGCATATGCCCAGAAGTGGAATTGTTGGAACATAATTGGTAATTCTATTTGTAATTTTTTGAGGAAACACCATACTGTTTCATTCATATTGACCATTCATTCTTTTCCAATAGTCTTTCAACAAATGAAGCTGGGAAAACTGAATATCCATATGCAAAAGGATGAAAGTGGAGCCTTTCCTAATACCATATACAAAATTAACTCCAAAATAGATCTATGACCTAACTATTAGAACTAAAACCATAAAATCCTTGGAAGAAAATATACGGCAAAAGCTTCATTACATTGGATTTGGCAATGATTTCTTGGATATAACACCTATAACACAAAATGTACAGGCAACAACAACAAAAAAATAGACAAACTGAACTTCATGCAAATTAAAAAAATTTGTGCCTTGGGTGGCGCCTGTGACTCAAAAGGGTAGGGCGCCAGCCCCATATGCCAGAGGTGGTGGGTTCAGGCCCAGCCCCAGCCAAAAACTGAAAAAAAAAGAACAACAGAATGGGAGGAAATATTTGTAAATCATATATCTATCTGATAAGAGATTAATAACCAGACTATGCAGAGAACTCTGAAAACCCAACAGCTAAAAATAAACCAATTTAAAAACAGGCAAAGGACTTGAACAGACATTTCCCAAAGATAAAAAACAATGGTCAATAAACATATGAAAGGATGTTTGGCATCACTAATCATTAGTGAAATGCAAATCAAAACTATAAGGAGGCTCGGCGCCTATAGCTCAACCGGCTAAGGCGCCAGCCACATACACCTAAGGTGGCGGGTTCGAATCCCCA